CCCCCTCGGCCCCCACGCGTGTCCCCTGCCCTCACGTGCTCAGCTGTGGCACCTGCGCACAGCTGTATGCGGTGTCACCCTCCCCACGCATGTGTCACATCGTCCATGTGTAGCCATGTCACCCTGCCCACCGTGTCACCCTATGCGCAGCCGTGTCACCTCATCCATGTGTGGCCGTGTGGCCTTGTCCACGTCCAGCCATGTCACCCTGCCCACACTTGTACACCCTCAGTGTCACCATGCCCGTGTGTGCCCAGCCATGCCACTTTGTGCAGCAGCCGTGTCACCCTCCCCATGCCCAGCCATGTCACCTTATCCATGTCTAGCCATGTCACCCTGCCCACATCTGTACCGCCTGTCACCCTCTCCATGTTCAGCCGTGTCACCCTGCCTACACTTGACACTCAGTGTCACCATGCCCATGTGTGCCCAGCCATGCCACCTTGTCCCTGTGTAGCTGTGTCACCCTGTCCACAGCTGTGCACCATCTATGTCACCCTAGCTGCCACCCTCCCCAGCGGTGTCACCCTGCTCCTGTGTGCCCGGCCATGTCACCCTCCCCATGTCCAGCCATGTCACCTTGTCCAGGCGCAGCCACGTCACCACAGCTGTGCACCATCTATGTCCCCCTAGCTGCCACCCTCCCCAGCGGTGTCACCCTGCTCCTGTGTGCCCGGCCATGTCACCCTCCCCATGTCCAGCCATGTCACCTTGTCCAGGCGCAGCCACGTCACCCTGCCCCTCTGTGCCCAGCCCGGTGGCCCTGCCCTTGCCTGTGTCCACCGCTGTCACCTGCTCGCATGTGCACACCCCCCACCCTGTCCCCTTGTGCCACCCTGATGCCCTGTGCCCAGCCATGCCTGTCCCGTCACCGTGTCCTGCCCTCCCAGCCTGTCACCCTGCCCCTGGTGTCACCGCAACCCCCCCAGATGCCACCACACGGCTCCAGAGGCGACGGCGGGCGCTTTATTGCGGTGGCCGCGGGCCCGGCGAGGTGACAGCTCAGCTCCGGCGCGGGGGACACGGCGGGGGGGGACACGGGGGCCTGCGCGCGGGCCGGGGGCACGGCCACCGTTAAAAAAACCCCGGAGGTGACTATAAAAAAGAGGCAAAAAA